ACAGTGAGAGAAGAAATAATGCTGGTAGAGATGCCAGACATTCAGCTTGTGTTTGAGTAGACCCATGCAGAAGTGCAGAACTCCTCAGGGACACACTGATTTTCTTTGTGTAGGCAACACCACCCCCCCAAATTAACACCTTTTAGACATGAGCATCCCCACACTGGTAGAAAATGCATAGAAAAGGTGATGGGTGTGCTGATGCACTCTGGAAACATCAAGTAAGAAACAACCACCAGAAGTTTTGCAGGTTGATGAACTACAGATTTTATTTTATTATTTTTTTTTAAGACAGATTGAAGCAAAACAGTGATGAAAAGAATTAAACATCTCACACAACAAGAGGAAAATTAACAGCAGGACTAGTGCTTCCAAAGGAAAAAAAATCACATTGATGCAACTTGAAAGCACATTACAGGCATTCGATGAGTAAAGGCAGGTGAAGAAGAGAAGATGGACAGTCTCTACGCAAAGGAGGAAGAGCATTTAGGGTGGTGTCCATATCCGTATCCATATCCAACACTGAGTAAGGCATTTGTTGAGTGAGTTTAGTTGTTACCACCACAGCAGCCACCGCAGCAGCCGTTGTTGTTGTTGTTATTACCACCCATGGAGTAGCAGAAGGCCTGAAGGGGTGGGCAGCAGCTGTAGGGGTAGCAGCACTGCAAGGGTGGGTAACACGCTGACCTCTTGCTGGATTTTGGGCTGCTGTAGCAACACACGGTGTAGCTGCCACCGTTGTTGTTGTTATTTCCACCGCAGCATCCACAACCTCCGTTGGGCATGTTGTTGGTTGTAGTGTAGGCAAAGCTGGAAGAAACCAGAGAGAGTCTTTTTTTTCAATCTGCCTGAATTTCCCAGTTGTTCATGAAGCTTAAATCATACCAAAGTCCACCCCAAATTAGCTGGAGAAGTCCGTACTCTCCAGAATCCCATGACAACCTGTCCCCGAGATCTCTACCTTTTTTTCATTGGTCACCAGTGCTTTTGGCATATTGGTTCCATCAGAAAGAAGCCACCCAGGTGGATTCCAAAACCAGCTTCTCAAAATTGATCCCAAACAAGGACAGTACAGAAAATCCTGGATGGCTTCTTCAAAAAACCTACAGAACTACGGTAGAGTACAAATGAAAAAGCAAGTAGTAAGCTTTGACTTACCCTGTTGACCAGTGAGGACAAGTGAGGAGAAGGCAAGATGAGTGAATGAAGACCACTGTGATGGGGAGCTTTTTATACTCTTCAAAGCCACCTCCCCCTGGAGATGAGGCATTCTTTGGTAATTCTGACTTCATTGTGGATCACCCAATAGGTGCCTCTCACATGTTTTCCGGTATTTAATCTTTACCTCTTTTCTGTTTGCTCACCACCTCAATTCTCCACCGTAATTAGTTGGACATACAAACAAGAGGTGCAAATTTACTAATGAATTTGCATGAATGAGAAGCAGAGGTAGCTCTAAGGTATTCCTATTCACTTCCCGAGGAATGACCTTGGGACACAGAAGCACTCAACAATGTGCTCAGGAAAGGTGGGTGCTGAAGAGGTGGGAAAACCATGCTTGGAACTTAGAAATGTCACCCCTCATGTGTCACCTCTGCCCTTTGTTGGAATTTTAGGGGATCAGTGGAAACTATTGGTCAATGTAAATCCTTTTTTTCCCTGACTCTGAGAGGTGCTTTAGGGGTCAAAGTTAAGACTGAAGGGTTTCTTCTTTCTCAGGCTTGTTCTTGGGTCTCCATCCATGGTGCTTGGTCTTCACACCCCCTACTTTTTATTGCTGCTGAATTTTTTTCATTTTCATCCATGGAAGGGGTGGATTAAGTCTAAACTAAGCAGCTTTCAAAGCAGCAGGGCACAGTTCTTAGCTTTCTTCTGTGTTGTTTCCATACACTCCATTTTCTGAGATGACAGCTTCTAGACAGCTTCGATGTAATGGTGTTTGTGATCATAGAATCATAGAATCCCAGACTGGTTTGGGTTGGAAGGGACCTCAAAGATCATCTAGTTCCAATCCCCCTGCCATCAGCAGGGACACCTTCCACTAGACCAGGCTGTTCAAAGCCTCATCCAGCCTGGCCTTCAACACTTCCAGGGAGGATGATCACATTTTGAGTGTTTCATGCTAACAATTTGATTCTGTGTCACTGTAAGGCAAGCAAGAGTTTCAAGACTGGAAACCCAATCCTGAGTGCATTTCTCCATGCCTTTCCCCCGTACCTCAGGAACCCAGCTCATATCTCACAGATGTTTTGAGTTCAGGCATCTGAGAGGACTTTTCCAGCAATTGTTTAGAGTTGTTTTGGCTGCAAGGTGCTAAGGCCAAGGCTGCTGTGCCTGCAAAGACTGACTGAACTTTAAGGGGAGAATGGATAAGATGGTTGAAGTCAAGGAGGATGTTATGAAACAGTCTTGGGGATGGGGGAAGGAATTGTGGCCATGTGCAAAGCCAGGACAGCTCCACATGAGAAGATATTGATGGAGTTTTCATCTGATGAGAAGGGACATCAATATAAGATGAGAGTCCCAAGATGCTGAGGCAACATCTATTCATATAACTATGAGTAGATATTCAAATAAAGGCTGCCATCATGTTCAGCAGACTCTGAATGTGAGGCTGGAGTCATCGCAGGTGATCCCTGATGCTTGGGACACGTAGTTTCTTCCCAAGGTAAGAACGTGACCTGCTGTGACATTGGGTGTCTCTTCTGGAATTGTCCCTAGGGGAACATTGTTTTGGTCATACCATAATAGCCAGATACCTGCCTGCAGGAAGTAATGGTCTCCTTGTGTAAACTCTCAAACATGTCGTCCGCTGAATAAATCATTCGTTGCATTTTATTAGGCTTTATTGTCACCATTTTTGGCCAAGAAGATCCTGTGTTAGAATCACAGAATCATTGAATGATTTGGGTTGGAAAAGACATTTAAAGTTCATCTAATTCAACCCCCTTTACCATGAGCAGAGACATCTTCCACTAAGTCAGGTTGCTCAGAGCCCCATCCAACCTGACCTTGAATGTCTCCAGGGATGGGGCTTCTACCAGCTCTCTGGGCAACGTGAGCCAGGGTCTCACCACCCTCAACATTAAAAATGTCTTCATTATATCTAGTCTGAATCTCTTTTAGTTTCAAACCATCATCCCTTGTCCTATCACTACAGGCCCTGCTAAAAAGTCTGTCCCCATCTTTCTTATAAATATAAAAAGGCCACATTAAGGTCTCCCCAGAGTCTTCTCTTCTCCAGGCTGAACAACCCCAACTCTCTCAACTTGTCCACACAGCAGAGCTGTTCCAGCCCTCAGATCATTTCTGTGGCCTCCTCTGGACCTGCTCCAACAGGTCCATGTCTTTCTTTGGAGACATGGAAGACATGAACCCACTGGAGCTGTTGCTAATCAGGGTCTTACAAAGACCTTGAGGAGATATTGGCGTTTCATGTATAGTTAGGTCAGAAATAACATCTTCTACACTAAATGCCTTTTTTCACACCGTGCCATGATGTCTTTTTAAACTTCCATGGTGGTTACGTGACTTTGAGAGCAGCAGTATCTTTGTGAACAAAGAGGAATCTGTCATGGCAGCTTTTCCAGCATATGATGAAATTAATATTCATGAGATTTCTGTACCAGAAGGCACTTCTGGTTACAGTATGTATGGTATGGTACAGGATATCCTTCTGCCAGTGTCTTGTACTTCATTTACCTGTTAATAAAAAACTCTTAAAGACCTGAGTCATGTTTTCAGAAGAGTCTAACGTGATAGAGAAGATTATTCTAATGCAGGCTTTGGATATGCTCTGAAGATTTGGTTGAGGGAAGCAATCAAGTCAACGCTCAAGGCATTTTCCCGAGACGTGCAATTCTGAGATGAGTCCTGAATTTTAATAGTAAAGGAAGTCCCAACCAGGCAGAAAAGGTATCGTTGACTCATCCCTATGCTATTTTAGGAATGAAGCTTTTAAGTTGTATGTTAACACCGGAGTTTCATTCCACCACTTGGAATCCAGGAACACCACGGATGAAAAAAATCTCTGCTCACATAAAAATAATTCCCTGATTTCAAGTGTTTTCTGACAGTTTCTTTTTGAAGATGGCAATGGAAGAAGGTGGTGCCTGCTATTCAGTGAGTAGTGAATTCCTCTCAGTACCTATTGAAATACTGATTTCAGTGTCAGGGATGAGTTCCTCCACGCCTCATGGAGTGATGTGGTGTCAGATGGTGGAATTATGGGTACTTCAGTCAGTTTGTGTCTTTTGAGTTTTATTTAACTTAACCATTTTGTTTCATTGTAAAAATTGAGTTAACTGAGGCAGATGATCAGGAGGTGCAAGAAGGGATCATACTGCTCTGCTACTGGCTTTAGACATGACCTAATTTATGCCAATGTGAAGTATAACTGGGCAGCTCTTCGTTTCCTACATGTTCTGCTGAGCCATGGGGTGATGTCTCTAACCAGTAGACTGAAGGCACAGAAAATGACACCAGAATGAGGAGACAATCTGGGCAAAGTGATGGAAGAACAACCAAAAGACAAGATTTTTGTGTTTTGCTTGATGCTAAGTTTTATTGTCTACAAGTCAAGAGAGAAAATGAAGAAGGATTACATTAAGAGCAAAGGTATCCCAAGACCATACACCAAGAAGAGAATGATCAGCCACACTAATATCTAACATCTCCTGGCCTTACACAACGGGTGATAGATTCAAATGCATTGCAGATGTTCAATAATTAAAGGACAGAAAGAAGAACACAGCTTAAATTTGAAGACAAGAAGAAAATCGCTAGGTGTCTACTCCATCATCAGGTGAAGCAGAAGTGAATGAGCAGGATTCCATCTCCTCATGCCTGTTCTGGTTCCATATCAGAGATGGAAGCCATCAGAGCTGCTTTTGCAACTTGGAGTTGGCTCAACAACGCTTCTTGATAGCAGCACAGCACTGCTGGATGGGTATGCAGTACCTCCTAACGGGAGGGCAACACGGTGCGGGGCTGCAACACACCGTAACGGGCTTCTTCACCACGTAGGAGCAGCAAGACAGACGGTCAGAGCAGCAGGGACGGCAGCTGCAGTAGCAGCAGGGTTGCTGGTCACAACACACGGTCTTCTGGCATGGGTCACAACAGGACTGTTGGCATGGGTCACAGGACTGTTGGCATGGGTCACAACAGGACTGCTGGCATGGGTCACAGGACTGTTGGCACGGGTCACAGGACTGCTGGCATGGGTCACAGGACTGCTGGCATGGGTCACAGCAGGACTGCTGGCATGGGTCACAGGACTGCTGGCACGGGTCACAGGACTGCTGGCAGGGGGAGCAGGACTGCTGGCATGGATCACAGCAGGACTGCTGGCACGGGTCACAGGACTGCTGGCACGGGTCACAGGACTGTTGGCATGGGTCACAGCAGGACTGTTGGCATGGATCACAGCAGGACTGCTGGCATGGGTCGCAGCAGACGGTCTTCTTCTGACAAGGGTCGCAGCAGATGGTCTTCTGACATGGGTTGCAGCAGATGGTCTTCTGGCAGGGCTGGCTGCAGCACACTGTTTTGCTCTTCACGACGGAGCAGCATCCGGTAGAACAACATCCAGTGTAGCTCATGCTGTTTGTAGTGTAGTCAAAGCTGGAAGGAGCGAGGACCTGAAACACAGTGGATTTTCAGATACAACCCATCTTTCCAAGTATATCACAGAAT